GTAATTTTTGCTGATCAATGTGCGTATATGTTTGAATAATTCATGGATAATCAAGTTAAACATCTTAAAGATACACATTGAATTGTTTTCTTAAAATATACAAAAAGTACAGTATTTATAATTAGGATAATATTAAAGGAGTTAAATCTCAAATGATTCAGGATATTTATTTTATTAGTTTTCATTTAAAATGCTTAATTTTCAGAAAAGTTGGTTGATAGTAAATATAGTATTTATAAAAATTTTATAATCTTTATAATTTTATAATCTTTACATCCAAGAGACTTTTAGACAAACACTTTGTATTCTACATGAAATTATATTGGAGAGATTTTAAATAATCTGAGAATATATCAGAGAGTTAAAAAGTATTCACATATATCTCTATATGAAAGTATTCTTCAAACACATCTTTCACGTTGGTTATTTGACATTTCGTCATTACGATAATTTTTTCTGCAGACAAATTGTATTATAAAGGCTTGAATGATCTCAAAATAGAAACGTTCCAATAACTCTGAACAATCGCGTTTAAATATGTTCTCGCGATCGTCGAGAGGGCGGGTTGTCGAGAGCGTTCCTCGCACAATCACGACAATCGATCCGCCGAATTTCAATAAAGGGCACCGGGTCTTCGCTGGGCGAAGGGACGGCTCGGTTGTGCGGCGTGGGCGGCCCTGTGACCTTGAACAGGACGTGCTTGTCACGGTGCGCAGGCGCGTTCGTCCGCAGGGTTCGATCATCCTTCGTCGCCGGGGACCCTTCGCCGCACCGGCTGGCTTGGAAAGTCGCTTTTCACTTTCACGTCCCTTTCCCTGTCCCTTCGTCCGCTCGCTTGCGTCGTCCCACGCAGCGCACTTTTACGATAAGAGCGAATGTCAGGTCGGCTCGTAAAAGAATCTTGTGTGGCAGGCCGAGGGAGCGCAATTGAGAATATATGCTCAGCCTGAAAAAAGCAAGCGAAAAAAAAAAATGCACACGCCTCGCGCAAACGATCGCGGACGAAAGGTATCGACGCTAACGCTCGATCGAGTATGCAGGCCTGATCAAAGGCCCTTTTGTGTTTCCCTTTGAGGGCATTCTTGAAATTCGGGCTTAAATTGCCTCGTTAGTTGGTCTTCGTCTTCTTCCGCTCAACTGGCCGGAAAATCAAAGCTTTCGGATCACTCGAAATTATTTATTGGTTTTTTTTATCAATGTTTTTACAAGTGATAGAAGATAGTTTTACAAGTGATAAGACGCTGAATTCTATCGTTCTTTTATGTTTGATGTATATAATATTATATTTTTTATTTATAAATAAATTTATTTTATTACAATATGCATATATACTATAATATAGATATTCTTGAATAAAATAATTTTGAACGCGAATGAGAGAGAGAGAGAGAGAAGAATAATAAATATCTCTTGCACATACCTACATACCTTATACATTGCATCTATTTCGATTATGAATAATTCTATAAATTTTTTTTTGTTATTCATGAAATGGATTTAACAAAGATCATATTATCTAAAGATAAAGATTAAAGCTAAATAAACTAATTAATCAAAACCATCGTGATGAAACTGAAATTTTGTCTGACACAAATGAATTTCACGCAAAGTTTTGAACAGAGAGCAGCGAATCAATATACGTAATAGAATTAAGTAACGTATAATTTTCTCGTTACGCGCGATGGTCGTATTGTCTATTTATTAGTGATCTTTATATATGCGAGCTGGTAGTTGCGACAGATGCTCCTGATAAGTGTTCGGTCCTTTATCGCAGCTGGTCTTATTGTTAGATAAGAGTGAGCTCCAATTGACAGACCACGATTCGATGGTAATTCTTCATTAATCGTTTGAATCGTATTATACACATTAGGCAATCGATTGAAGTATCAGGCCAGATAAAGGCGGATAATGTGTGTCTTTTAAAAAGAAACGTTCTCGTAGGTTTTATAAAACATTATAATTACAATGTTTTACACACACATATATGTATTATTCATATCTTAATAAAATAAGATTTGCAAGATAGTTTTTCATAATTTCTCTTATACTACTATTATAAATATTGCTATTTTTGATAAGTGATATAAACATTGTAGTTTGAAGAGATTCTTGACAATGACAAAATTTTAATTGTAAATTTAATTGAAACAATTTTTGTATCTTACTCTGTGTGTGCGAAATATAACATATTTAGACATTGACGTATTAGATATGAAAATATTTTTTTCGCTTGGTAGAGATATCTGTCGGGTTTTTTTTTTAAATAAATTTTGAAGTACAACTTATCCGCTTTTGTTTCTAGGATTTATTTATTTTTATGTTTATTATTAATGACGCCTGGATGTGATTGAGCATTATCAACCTCCGCCAGGCATGCATGCCATGTTAACTATAAAATTCATGTCAACGCTCGCTCTCGTTGCCCGATCAATATCCGTTGCGAAGCGGTTTTCTCATGCGCGCCCGCCGCTGTTTCGTTAAATAATTCGAGAAAAAAATGAAGCTACGAGTTTAAAAATTTGCATGAAAATGAACAAGGAATAGAATTTGCATCGTCGAAGCTGTCGTATATGAAATCATCGCGAAGAAGCGCTTAATCTCATTGTCATGAAAAAGAGACATAAAATTAATTCCAATTTCGAAAATGGATAATTGACAATTTTGTCGAAAAATCGATAAGGAAATATAAGAACGCCGAATATTTTAAACCTAATCATTGAAGATCCGAATATCAAAACGAGAGATTCTTCACGTAACAAGATTTCATTTGCGATCGAATCTATGTACAAGAAAATAGTCACCGTCGAGGAACATGAGACGTTAATTTGTTTATTCTTCTTATTTATAAGAATATTGTGTCAAAAAAGAAGTTATCGTCTTCCCGAAAAATTGAGCGCAAACATAAAAAAGCCGGAACACGTCAGCTTATTATCTTTATTGACATCCCAGCTGAATCTGCGACAAGACAAATTTGACCTCGAAACTGCTCCAGTTTTTCCAGGACAGTATCTTCGACTCTGATTTTTCTAGAAAAGCTGGCCACAGAGACAAAGACCTTCGAAGCATGTCGGTAAATTCGCAGTGGACTTCTGTTTAAAGCACGACTGTGCATGCATCTCAAGCACAACGAGCTCGTATAATCAAGCAACTTATTTCCAACATTCCAGACCCGATTTTACTGATTTTTTACCGTAATTTAAACGGCTACGATAGCAAAAATATTATTGGCTTTAAAAAACCGTGGTTTTGACATCGTTGTTATCAGCAAGTAAGGAGAGAATCTTCTAATATCTCGAAAAGCTACATATAACAAGTTGCATCAAACAGATTACTTTCATCCATCTAATTTTCATTGTTTCAAGGATTAATCGATTAATTTAATCTTTCGTCTTCAAGTTATTTAATCGGATGCAAACACTAAGTAACAAGAATTTCTTGATAAACTAAAAGCTGGACCGGCAAATTTATGCCATCCACGCAATTGTTATCGTCGCAAAAGTTAATTTGCCGATTCCTAATACCGGAATTGTTTAAAAGACCGCGACGATCCGATACAAAAGGATTACGGAAGCTCCCAGAAATTATCATAGATTTCGAAGTAGATAATTTCCGAGCGTATTCTCGGTGGTTGAGCTCAGTCGATTCGCTCGTTGCCTAGGAATGTTCGGCAGGAAATTTCCATTCCAGCGATTCGATCGGGCTGTAAAGTACGGCTCGGGGCCCTGGCATCATCCTGATACGAGTCTGCCATCGTAAAGGCCACGGGAAGAGCCGACAAGTGTCGGAGATGGCCGAGGTGTGGTTACGCCGAGCCACGAGCTACCCTCGGCAGCAGCTCACGACTGGCTATGGCTATTGACCGAGCTTGGCAGACCGGCCGGTCAGCTGTGCGCCTCGCCGGCGGTGTGGTATTCTCCTACGCGGTCAGGAAGAAGCCGTCCACGTAAACGAGACGGTGTGTCGTCGGCGCCGGCGAGAATTAGCGACGAAGAACCGGAAACGAGCGAACGTCTGTCCGTCCAGTCAGATCGAGGTGGAGTCAGCCAGAGGAGAATCCTCCAGGAGAAGAGTAGTCGAACGGCGACGGTGGTGCTCGAAGATCACTCTCACTTTGAATGATAGACGATCGCGTCGACGATCTCCAGCTGTAGCTGCGCGTCCTCGTTATACATCAGCAAGTAGAATCGGAAGTAGAGAGAGAAAGACTGCCTGGTCCCATCATCGTCGTCGTCGGTGGATCAGTCCGAGTGAAAGCCCAAAACGATCCGCTCGCTACACACCGCCGCGAAAGATATAAAGACAGTCGGAGTAGGAGAGTGAACCAGACGAAGCGCACACACAGAAAGAAAAAAGAAAGAGAGAAGAACATACCGAGGAGAGAAAAAGAGAGAAGGAGGTTCTTGGCCCACGGGCAACACTCGACATGTAAAGACCGACCGGCTGTGCACGGCCAGAGCGTACAGACGATCCCGCGAGAGAACGAGAGAGCGGCAACGAGCGATCCGGAGAGACAAAAAGAGAGAGAGAGAGACGGTGGAAGGGGAAGGGATGGTGGAAGAGAGACAGATAAAAAGAGAAAGATCGAGTGTGGGAGAGACGCGAATTGAAACAGAAAGAGAGGAATAGGCAGATAGATAGGTGTCCCTATGTGCGACGAGTGACGTGTGCGCCGCTGCGTGTGTAGGTGTGCGTGCCTGATACAAGCAGATCGCCGGTTGCAAAAAAGTGCAGTGCTCCTGCAGTAGACTTTTCCATATCGAAGAAGAACTGCGTGCGTGCGTGCGTGCGTACGTACGTACGTGAGAGTGACGTGCGTGCGTGCGTGCGTGCGTACGTGCCGTCCATCCGTGCCGTCCGTGCGTGTATACGTGCTTCTCTCCTTCTCTCTCTCTCTCTCTCTTTCTCTCTCTCTCTTTCTGTCTCTCTCTCTCTCTCTGTCTGTCTGTCTGTCTGTCTGTCTGTCTGTCTGTCTGTCTGTCTGTCTGTCTGTCTGTCTGTCTGTCTGTCTGTCTGTCTGTCTCTCTCTCTCTCTCTTCTTTGTGTATGTGTGTGCGCGAGAGTGCGTGCGCCGCCTTCGCGATCGCAAAGAGACAGACACACCGGCGAGTTTTCGACCGTGTATCTGCGAACGAGGACGGACGAGAATCGCGACCGATCGACCGAACGACTGATCGATTCTTCTCTCTTTTCACGATTTACATGGTGAATCTGCTACGAGAGGAGGAACGGACGGAAGCGAACAGAACATTCGGAAGGGCAGCTAACTCGGTTTCGTAGAGTACGCGCGTCAAGCGCGAGAAAAGAAAGAGACAGAAAAAAAGAAAGATATAGTAGAATATCATCCAGAGAGGGATCAGAAGGTGGACGTCGCGGCGCCGACGTCGAGAGGATACGTGGACGGTTTTACCGGGTGGAAACAACCGCGATTCGTCGACAGAGAGAAGAGGAGGTAATAGGATCGTCCGCCACCAAGGTCTACCTTGCCGGCTGAGAGAGAGAGAAAAAGAGAGAAAAGGAGAGAGAGAGAGAGAGAGGAAACGAGACAGAGAGAGAAAGAGAGAGAGAGAGCAAGAGTGAGTGAGCGAACGAACCTGGTACACACGTACTCCGACTCCAACTTTGCCGTTGACTCGCGGTCGGTAAAGCATCGGGACGACGGTGGCGGTGATCCAGCGAGACACTAGCGTTCGCGAACGAGCGCGGCGGTTGGCAGTCGCGGCTTTCTGGTGGACGTGATAAGGACGAACGGTGCGATCCGGCGAGCAAAGCGGTCGACCGTGCGAGAACGAGTTGCGGGAGAAAGAAAGAAAGAAGGAAAGAAACGAAGAACCGATCAGCGATATCCAGCGAAGAGGACAGTAGTATTTGTGAAGAATTTGATATTACATCCGGTGCTACAGTGTGCTATGATCTTGCTATGATCTTGCTATAGGATCTAGAGAACCGAAAGAAATTTAAGAGAGAAAACAAGAGAGGAGGTGAAGAATAAAGAAGAACCGAAATCCGTGCGACGAAGAAAGCCACAAGGTAGAGGACGAGTTCTTGGTCAGCAACTTTGGCGGTGGATTTAATCGTGGTCGATAGCGCGGGGAAAGCAAGAGGAAGCCAAAAGGAAGAAAGGAAATAACCGAGTGTCCTTGATGGGTCATCCGGCACTACATGATCGAGCTGTATCGCGACCGACATTAGCTCACCATCGTCACATCGGGGGAGATTAGAGGCGACCCACGTTTTACTCGCTCCGTTCGGACAACGCGACGAAGCGGCGGGACGAAGCGAAGAGAGGATCTACTTGCTGATCAGCGCGAACCCGGGCGATAAGCAGAGCTCGGCCGTCTCGAGTTGAGTTGAACCGCTGACTCGGCGAACACGGGAGCTGGCTGTTTAAACGCTATTAGTGCCCGCGATCATTTCAATTATCCGCGAATAATTTTCACGTTTGCGTGCAACGATCGTGTACGATCGTCCGCTGTTTGACCCGGTCGCTATCCTCACACTACCTGGTGCATCGATTTCCTTAACGGAAACGAGGACGAGACTCGCCGATTTTCACGTGTACACTGTCGACGATTCTCTGAGAAGATAACCAAAATCCTGGATCCTAACGAGTGAACGATAATGAACTACGATTCTTTGAAAATCGATGAGATCGAGCACGCCGTAGATTCGCTTGGAGTCTCGATGGCTTGATCCACCAATATTAATCGTTACGAGGATAATCCGGCGGTATCGTTTCGATTGATTCGTCTAGGACGATTTCCAAGATAATCCCGGACGATATCGACTTTCTTCCTCCGGCATCATCCGGAATTTAACACCCGATCGCGCTCTCGACAAGCCACGAAGATTATCGCCTGTACGCTCGCACTCGCGCGGGGCTACGCTTGAAAATCGCTCGGTGTCGTTGCTTGACAAAACCGGTTTCGTTCGGCTCGGCGAGTCTCGGCGTTTATACAAAGGTCGTGTGTGAGAGCGCGCTGAGCGCGCGACCACGAGAGAGTGGTAGGAGTGAGATTTATGGAAAACGAATTTACACGAGGTCACACCTACGGGAGCGGCTGTCTATCTCTCTTTCTCCTTTTTTGTATCTTTGTCTTTCTTACTCGTCCGTCTCCTTGTAACTCGTTCTCTCTCTCTCTCTTTCACTTCTCTCCCCCGTTTTCCTTTGTTCATCTATAATTTTATCCGCACGTTAGCTCTGTTAATAATAATTACGGAATTTGTGCGAATAGCGAAGATCACCGGTCAGACGTCGACCACGTTGAAGAATCTTTGAAGAATCGAAATCACGATCGATGAGAGAATGATATTGCTCCGATATCAATTGGCCGGATAAATATGCCATATTTGCAACGGCCTTGAAGAATTTCTTCGCGTCGTCGAAGAATTAAAGGCGGACAGAGATAATGAAGTGTTCGATGACAAAGTCCAGAAGATTTAGTAAAAGGATGAGCCAACAAAAGTGAAGATACTCAGGTCTTTAGAATACCTAAGATCAGAATTAATTTATCAGGAAATTTATGATAAGAAGAATTTTATGCCGTCAAATCATATTCTACAATTAATACGAGAATTAGCTAGTAAAATAAATTTTTGATTGCACACTACGTGAAATCAGTTGAATAATTATAACGGAATAAACTCAAACATTTTTAGAAAGAGAGGAAAAGTAAGACATATTTGAACATTTATGTGATCAGTGCATTATATTTAATCATAATTAAACGTGTGTTGAAGATTCAAGCGTTTCCGTTTTCAAGTGTCGCGATCGATCGAGTGCGTAATCACTGAATAGAGAATCTCGAAAACTTGGGAAAATGTCAGGGGACCTAAGTAGCCCGCGGAAGGAGCAGGACTCCTGGTCGCCTGGGTCGAGTAGCAACGCGTTAATTGCGAGAACATCGACATTGTCGAGAAAAACTTAGCCGTCTTATCGCTCGCTTGATGATCGGCTACGGTGACGATGAAACGTGTGACGAGCGCATCCGTTGCGGCCGCTACGGCCGCCGCAACCCAGGTGCATCATCAGGCCAGGATCCAGGAGTTGTTTGCTCCCGGGCCGGCGACGACGACGACAAGTATGAATACGGCGATGTACGTCGGCGACTCCTACGCTGACGAGCAGGATAAGCAACTTACGATACCCTCCTGGCTTGAGCCGAAGGGCTCGCCGAAGATCAGCCCCGGAACGAACGACGACAGCAAGGCTAAGTCTACGGCGATGTCGCGACTATTAGCCGTCGATTCCGATAACTACATGCTGCGCAAGGGCGCCGCGGCGGCGACAACACCGGTGACACACGGCGCCGCGGCGCCGTCGTCCACCGCCTCCTCGTCGTCGCAGTCATCGTCGTCATTGAACGGTTCCACGAGCGTGCAACTGCAACGGCAGATGCAGAGTCTCGCCATCGGATCGGCCACCGCGCCGTCGATCCTGGCGACGTATGGCAACAACGGCGATCACGTCAATGTCAACGTCGGTCAGCTGTACGATGTCACGCGTACGACATCGAGATCGACGGCGCCGTACACGTCGCCCAGATGGTACGCCGCCGGTAATAGTAACCAGGTGACGAGGCAGCATCGAGAGGGAACGTTGGCGGCAGCGCAGCTCGAGGAACAATCTCTGCAGCAACAGCAGTTGCAGCTGCAATCGCGTACGACGACGACGACGACGCGCGGCGACGCGTCGACGCCCGCGACGTCGGCGGAGGGTGTCGAGAGCGAGCTCGGTTTTACAAAGTTGGTGTGCGCGAGACTGGTGTCCTTTCATCGGTACATGTGTTGGTGCGGCGCGCAGCCTGCCGTGACGGAGGCCGCCGATGCGAACTCGGTCGGCGATCGCGCGAAGGGCGGCAAGAGCGCGGCTACCCCTTACGAAGGGTTAGCCGCGAGACGAACGGTGCGCGACGATAGTTGTAGTAATAGTAGTCTATGCTGCTGCATGTGCGGTTCTCTATGTCCCGCAGAGTGCCACGCGTGCTTCCACATCGTGTGTTCGGACTACAGCGGCCAGCACCTGTGCCAATGGACTACCAAGGGTCACGCGCTACCCGGCCAGGTTCACGACAAGGACAAGGTCAGTAAACGCTCAATGCCTTCTCGTTACATTACGAACGACGTATGCATTCGAATTAGTCATACTCGAGTCGAGTCTCCGTGTTAAGTATTTCCTACAGGAATCTTTGGTTGATGTGATTTTTTTTTATCACTCGGTAAAACGAATGTCGTTATGATACGTTGCGGTTTGAATTATTGCTCGAGAAACATTTTTTCTTCACATTTTTAAAAATGTAGATTTGTGAAAATTCTTAACGCGAAAAATCTATATTATATTAGTAGTAGATATTTTTACTAGTATATCCAGCATTTTTTTTACAATGTAAATCGATTTGTTTCCCTTGCAACTCACATTTTTTCTATACAAGAATTTGACATGACCGAATTATCTTTCGCGCATGTACTATCACAGTTTGGCGAAACAAAAGCGTGCAGAAATCTCGTACAATGCTCAAGGCAAAATCACAATATTCAACGTTAAAACCTCAGGCATTGAAACAAAAAGTTTTTTACCTATATCGAGATGATCGCGCGCAAAAAATGTCGAGACCAAAAAAAGTAATATTTTCGGTGTAGGTGTGTGTGATAAAGATTTATTTTTTATTATATTTCATAGTAATTAAAGCATTAGCAAATGCAGAAAATTTTCATGCGCTATCAGGTGCGTAAAATTTGTAACGTACGAAATATTTTCATCGTGAGAAAATTTTATATTTTCTTGAGATTTTCTTTCGTCTTTTTTCGCACGATCAATACTTAACTCTTTAATCTTTCTTTAAACAATTATATTTTTTTTATTTATTTAAGTAATTGATAGTTCACACAATCTGCTAAGCATTAAACTAAATTAACGATTTTTTTTATCTATTTTATATCGTCTCGATATAGAGGAGAAGTTAACTGTTCCAATTTCGAATGAGTCTGTTCAGGTATGAGATTTACATAGCGTTGCCGCTATTTACTACGAAAGTTTATCCCGAGGCGCGAATTTTACATAAACATGCGAGCGGCGTTTCGTTATCAGGGCGAGACTTGCCCAAGGCTCGATGGAGTAACGATCGAATTTCGACGGTGCTCGGCATAAAATTGAAGCGAAAAAAAGAGCAAAAAATCCAGCCCTGTCCCTTTTTTTTTTTTATGGAAGGTGCAAATAAGCTGAAGCTAAAGTGAATGAAATATCAAGCTAAAATTCTAATTTGTTCAAGTTAAAATTATTTTTATGAGCTAAAATAAAGATGATTTATTATTAACACAATAGAACAAAATGAATAAAATTTAAGGTTTAATAATGTCAAGGCGTATTAATTTGAGAAACGATAATATTGAAAAAATATGATATTATATAAATTTGATTTTTTGCAAAAATATAAATTGGACAAAGTTATAAAATAATGCATTTTAATAATTTTTTTATATAAATCATATAGTATAAATAATTGCGTCTTATTATTCTATTGAATATAATGAAAATCGACAAGTGAAAATTATAATGAAAAATCAATCGTTTAAACATGATAAACGCCACATACACACACATATAAATGAATTATCTTTTTTACATTTTTTAATCACCGCAATTAAAAAAAACTAAAATTATCTTTTAGCAGCAATATAGAACGATATGCTTATATGTGTGTGTCACAGATGACTGAATAGATTAAATGAAATTAATCTGGTGCATTTACATTTATAATCGTAACATAAAAATAGACGATGCTAGGAACGGTGCATATATATTCGCGCAGATTTCAGATATTATCAAGTTTAATGAGTATAAGATAAAAATCATTTTTTGTGACTATCTAAACTTATTATTATAGCGCGATTTTAGATAGATAGCGGAAATACCATTGATTATATAACGAAATTTTTTCAAAGAAAGGCTCTGATGAAATCATTCTTATTTACATGTCATTCTATCGGTAGGATTTCCGTCGCAGAGGTGATAACTTCCGCGAAATAAGTTCCCCATAGCAGGCGTCGCCCAGACCGATGACGGATCGGGTCGCAAAAATTCGCAACGTCTGCGATCCGTGGGATATAGCGCGAGAAAGAAATGATCTCGGCGCGGATTAACCGAGCGTGTCGATCAAGCGGACGTGCAAATGTACACGCGTTGCTGATCGGCGTGAATTATTCGGACGAGAACGACGAACGAGGCTTTATCTCGCGGCTGTCGTCACGATCGCGGACTTGGGGTTACGACTTGGGGAGGTTACATTTTTCTCTTTTCCTTTTTTTTCCCTTTTTTTTTCACGTTTCTGCTTTATCGGGTCCGCGTTGCTCGATAACGGCAGCTGGCGACACATGGAGACGTCTCTTCTCTTCGTATCGCAACGTGCGCTCCCCGTCCGTCTCGCCGCGTCTCCGCGATCGCAATCCGTCGATTTATCTAATCGCGAACTTGGCCGGTCGTGTGGTGCGTTAAATCGCACCGTTTGTTCGAAGCTCCGTATCTTGAGGATCGAGAAAATCGGGAGATGCTCCTCGCGTGCGCGCGAGCGCCTTTGGCTCTTACATAATCTTCGGCGATCGACACCAGATAACAATAGCATTTATCTAGAAAGAGAATAGAGTCGTTCAGAAAAGGAAAAGAATAATAAGACACGTTTCGTTCCTTTTATCACTTTTTTACAAGTCTACGTAATAGTAAACGTCAAACACGTGTAAGTACTATATTATACACGTGTACATTAAATAATCATTAAATGGAAATCATAATTATCGATCATAAGAGATTAGTGTGATGATGGAAATAACGTTATAATTGTATAATATATAATAATATTATATGTGTGTCTGGCTTTTATTACCGTCGAGGGCTTAATTGCTCATTGATAATTAAATAAAGATTATTAATGGTATTTGAATTTTCTATTCGATTCAAATTGACAGAGATTTTGAATTAATCAATTGATATATCTTTTTATTTATTTTTAATTTATTCTTAATTTGAATGAACAAAGTGAATAAGGAATGAGAGAATTAAATAAATTTTTTTAACCTATTATATATATAATGTTTACAGAAAAAAAGCTCTCTGATTGAGAATAATTAAATTTGGAAAACTCTCAGAAGAAATTGCAACACGATATTGTGATTGAAGCAATTTAGTTTCCACCTAAATGATCATATAATGATGAGGAGAAATATGATTATACGTGTGTTCTCTCTGGCATGCCATAATAGAAATAGCTTGTATCATAATCAAATCGTAATATTGTATAAATACATATACTAAAGCAAATATAAGTGATTCAATTAAATTATAAAAAAATGACACGTTTATTGCAGAGATAATTAGAAGAATCGTAAAATTTGCTAAAATTCCTTATACACAGAAATCATCTTAATCGAATCGAGATTTTATCTTAATTATGATAATATACATGTTGCTAAAATAACAAGATTATTTGATAGTTGTATTGTAATTGTGAAGCATTATTTAAGTTAGATTAGTCATAAATATATTTCAGCTGTTATTTACTGCAAATGCAATGCTGATAATCTTAAAAATAACAATTCCAAATACTAGATTAATCTGATACATCGCTTTTTATTACTGAGAAAAAAATTAGGTATCTGAAATTAGATATATCTGAAGAGATCTAAATTATTCCAACTTTCACTCTTCTAATTCGACCAATTAGCGATTACTTCAATTTGCTACATGAATCGTTCTGTAAAACGGTTCTGGTATCATGGATTTAGAAAGGAATTAACATCACGATTGCCAGAATAAAAACACTCAAGTTTCGATGGATCGTGGTGAAGCCGGAAAATTGCCACACGTCCTCATTTGAAAATCTCGAGGATAATAAGCGCGTGCATATATGCTGGTGCTCCGGCTCATTATCCGCTTCCGCTTGCAAAGAATCGATTAATCATATGCGTTAATGACGACTTTACACGATTCACTGTTGATGTTCTTCTCGAATAATTCTTTATTCATTATCAAAAAATAGAGAGATTTTAATGTGTGTTTTTAATTTTTATTTTATAATAATTATTTTAGAGAAAAACAAATAAATAATGATATTTCATTCGCAACATATAATTTCGAATAAATTTTATCTTAACACGATATCAATTTGAGCAATAATTACGAAGATATTTAATGTTGAAAATTGGATAATCGTGAGAAGTTATGATTTTTCTTGGTAGAAAAAATTGATTCCGCGTTTATGCAAGACTCTGATATAAAGTAGCTTATATACACTTTTTTATGTAACCGTAATTTTTCCTCTCATTAGAGGAAATTATTGCGTTATCCTATTTGTCTAAAAACCTCCGATTGCACTACTTTATTTTGATTTGTCTTTTTACAATTCGCGCAATTTAGCCGGGATGATGGCCAGTAGCACAAGCTATGTAAATTCGCCTCACGTGTGTGCGTGCGCGCGCGATCCTCCTCATACGCAAGTGGACTTGGCTCGATTAGTTGTCGCTGATTCTCGTGCCATCGATGTCCACCTACAATCTACGTCTCGTTTCTCTGTTCACAGCCCGTCAGTGAGTGGACATCATTAAACGTAGTTGAATGGATGTCAGCCCTAAATCTGTACCGCTATGCGGACGTGTTCAAGTCGAAGGACATCAAAGGCAGCGATCTGCTTCATCTGGATCGGGAGAAGCTCATGGTAAGCCGATCATTTTAATTATATATTAGCATATCGGTCATCCGTACATCTTGGGATTAAAGTAACCAATGTCATTCCAGCGGCTTGAAAAAGTCGCTTCGAACGGAAGAACTTTGAATGTGGGACATTCGTGAGATTACTGTCGATATTAGATTATTATAATCAAGATAAATTTTATTCTATTAGCATGCCACTTTACTTTCTGCTTTTACTCTAATATAGTCATTCTAATAATGGCAAGCAGATTACAATAATTTAATTTAATGAATAGTCAGATACTTAAATAGAGTAGGGCATATACATATAGTAGAGTCATTATAATGTACTCTACCCTATTTTACTCCGGTTACAAGATTAATGGCATCGATATAGAAGCGGCATATAGTGGTAGCAAAAGATGCGATATATAAAGCAGCTAAAAATAAATTATAATTAGAAATCATTAAAGAGCAACTTATAAAACTAGTATTACAATTTCAGTGAAGACTGACCAGGATTTTTTTTTGTATTTTCTAACGCGTTTGTTACTCGTATTTCTCTAATTGCAAAAGAACAGTGACAGGGGAACCGATTCCGGCGTAGTTTTATATTAATCTCGAAACACACAGTTTCTTATTTAATGAACGATAGTGCAATGACCTCGTTTGCGCGTGTGTTCACCGTTACCAGCAATTAATTACACTATTATGGAATTTTTCTCGAATTTACCGGCAACTCTAAGAGTGCACCGGCCGGCGGTTTCGCTAATGATAGCCAACCATTTTCTTCTCGATCGACTAATTAATCCCGTTCTATTAATCGGCCGCGGTTTAGAGAAATGCAACTGTTAGATGCTTATTAAAATTAATTAAGAGTAAGAATTAATGCGCCGTATCGAACCGATTGCTGCGCGAAGAAACGATCGCAGGGAAGATCGTTTATTTATGTTTATTTAACTTATAACCGAACGGAGAGATACAATATCTGTTGGACGAAGTTGTTCGGCGAATCGAATGCACTCTAGAGAGTCCGGAGTGGATCACCGACGGATACGCACGTGATGATGATGCTGTCGATCGGCTTGCACGGACTCTACTCGGGTTTGGTGAGTCGTTCCTCAGTATCATTTGTCATTTATCGATTTCAATTTGGAATTTAGATTGGAGCAATCAGTATTGCGCGGGTTAAAGTTCTTCATGCGAGAAATTGATCTTTATATTTTATTATTATTGCTGAAGATGGACCAAAAAACGATCCGAAACATACATTTTTAATGCATATTTATCACTGAAATTTAACAATAAAAAATTTGCGCATCAATAATTGCGCGTCTTGGCTCTAATTATTTGCCCACTTAGAATGCACTCTAGTCGGAGCTCAGTCCGATTTTTTACGATGCATACTAATGATGCATGAAATGCACACTCTCACGAAGTAGACTGACCAAAACGTGCAAATTAAGGTTCTTTATGTTCCTGGATCCCGCTTGATTGAAATTTAATTCTGCGACAAATAATCGTCAGCAGTTTGTTATGTGCTGTATCTCTAATTTTAGAAAATACGCACAGATTTAAATTCTTCAGATTTAAATTCGATATATTGCTGACGCGTTTTCTCAAACTTTAACGTTGTATATTTTGACCAGCTATCTGCCTCATGATTGATAAAGTCCCATTTATTTATTCTGTATCGAACTCGTTAATTATTAAATAAAGAAAAGTACCTCAAAATACACACATTTAACATTTATTCTAACGTTTCACATTCCAGAATTAAATAAGTCATTTTCTTTGATCTGTTTAAAAATAGTATAAAATTTGCGCAATGTAACATATTTTTTCCGAGTTTTATATTATTCAGATACCTATGTGAATATATTAAAAAAATATTTTCACATTTACACTATACCCGTATAAAAATATTTTATAACATGTAACTTGGAATTTCGAAATAAGACAATAGACTTAAGAAACAAAACATTTTTATTATATACTGTGAGAGAAAATTTTTCGATATTTCTGCCTCTGAATCATTAGTCCCTTGCTTTTCGCTCGTTTCGGGTCGTGTCGAGACCGAAGTCGGAATCGCGCGATCGAAAATTCTTCGGCTAGTGTTCGGGAGAGATGATGACCTCGAAAGAGTTGAGAGTATCTGGACGACGTTTTCCTTGGCCCGTTGACCTTGTAATTGCCCTGTAGCGTCTGCTACAGTGCGCCACACAGTCGAGTCTTTATCGAATCTCCCTCCCTCTATAGATCTCCCTCTTTCATTCGTTCAGCGCTGATTTTTCTTTATCGTCGAGCACGAAGCGATTTGCAGCTTTCGGCTCGGCGATTCTCTTCTTGTTGCCGCCCGAAAAGCTTCGTATTTGGTTTATCTTCGCAGCGTTACATACTTATTGTAAAATCTAACACGTAAAATCGACAAGAGACGTACGACGGGAGGGAGCTGGATTTAATGAGATCACTTTTATCGGCGCTCCCTATGTCACTCCCTATGATGCACTTATGGCATTTTTTTTTCTTTTTTCGTTTTGATGTCTTCTTCTTTCTTAATAGCCGCGATTCGAGGAGAGGTCTTTATTGAGGCGTACAGGATTGGTGGCCGATACAATTTTTAAACATATGTCGCGATCCTATTACCACACGTCTACTTTAATCCAATGCAATCGCGGCGCTTTCTGTATCGCTATCAGTGCGAAATATTGCGGTAGAATTACTGCGTAGTGCATGAAAATGTAAAATGTATAATTTACCGCGCCGCGGAATATCGCGATAAATGTTCTTTATAACTCCACGCGGTTTTGGCGTTTCAACATAGGTAACGATACATTTATTATCATGTAGGCTATTATTATTCTGTACGCATCGGAAAATTTAACGACGTTTAAAAATGAAGATTTTCAAATCCTCCGAGTTAAAAAAATTCTTATATAGAAATAATCAAATACATTATAAACGAAAGTTTCTCTCTCTTAACAAAATCGTAAGATATTTGTTATATAAAATATATATTGAGCACATGCAAGGAATTAAAAAAGAAATATTTTTAACCTTTAGAGGATAAGATACGAAATATACATCTTGTGCGATTGATAACGTTGAAACAATATTAGATAAATGCTGCGGTCTTGAAAGCGTAGACAGAGATCACTAGCGCACAACGTAAAACGAAATGCTACAAAATATATCGTAAAAGCGGTTTCATCGTATGCACAAGACGTAACTTTTTTATATCCGCTGACTAAGCTTTTTTTTGTTCTTTTTTTTTTTTTTCCTTAATGATCCTGCCATGTGCATGCTAAAATGCTAAATAAACGCTGTCGCAATGAAAACGCACACACATCACCGAGATATAGATATAAAATGCAACGCTACAAAACACAGAGTAAAGATGCTTTTTCTCGCATTGCGAGACACGATATTTTATATCCAATGACCAGAGAATTCGTTTATATTAAACTGATGCAATAGCGTAGATAAAACTATTGCGTCCGTATGCAAATATCAAATGTTTCTTTTATTACATTTTCTTCTCGTAGATATTATATTATTATTATAATATAAATATCTTAGATAAATCTGCAAAACTTTTTCTTCGAATACATATCTATAAAATGAACAAGTTGCCAATTTAACTTAAATATTTATTTTAATATACACACTATTATATACACACACACACACACACACATACACACACATGATTAATATATTATAGCAAGATACAATATAAAAATTTTAACTTTTGACATTTTTCTAACATCTTATAATACTAGAAAAAAAAAGAAAAAATAGCTCGATATATCTATATGTATAGACATGTGTTCCTACGCTTTTCTTACTCTCGGCAGTTACGTCGCGCGTAATGATCGTATCATGCATATGTTTTCCCTATGCGTTACCACGCGTCGCATTATCATAATTATGCAAGAAGCCCGCGCGCGGAGTAACGGGTCGTGATGGACAATCGAATTACACAGGTCGGTGTTGGCTTAAGTATTCTCGCACCGATATACTCCGTGGGAAAACGGGCGTTCCTTTGGACCGTAATTACACCGGCATATTCCACGACGACGGTAATTGCGCTTGTTCGCGAGCGAACGGATAATTAAAAAAATGGTTTGAATTGCAAAGATCCGCGACAGATTCACGCTTGATAATCGGGCTAAGAACAAACGGGGAAAAAGATTCGAGTCTCTCGTTCGCTAATTAAAAATCATGCAGAAATATTATCGGATTATCTTGTGAAACTAACATCCGCACTCGGGATTATTATTTTTTCATATATGTATATAGATCACCATAACTTTTCCGATTAAATTCTTTAGATTTTTTGCAAGAATTTACGTATTCAGTCTCGACGCGTTCTTCGCAGAATAAAAATGCGCGCCTCTCGCCAAGGAAACTATGTGCTCAAATCCCCGTATTATCATGCTAATCGACTCATAAATATATCCTTTTAGTGCGAGAAATCGTTTGATCTTTCGATTCAGTACGTCCTTCGAGGGAATTGTCCTGTTCTGAACGCACGACGAGATATACTGAAAGAGTTCCCTTATTTTTTTTCGCCAGTTTTAGATGTCTCGAATTGTTACTTTATTAAGGCATATCATTCGCAATTTTATTAAGAATTTATTTCATTTGAGAAATCACGCTAGTTTTATTATCAAGAAGTTACTTTATTAAGGCCATCAATATAATAGAGATTTTTTTTAAATAAAATGTATTTCTTTAAAAGTGTATCTTTATATATACTTTTAATATCGTGTTTTTATTGAACAAAAAAAAATGCGAGGAACGCGAAATGCGTCTGTACTGTGTCTGTACTCGGAGCGGATTTTCTCCTTGTCGCAAAATAGCGAATTCTCTCGAGCATTTCTTGGCACTTGGAATAAAATAACGAGCCCGTCAAATTTTATCGCCGCGCTCTCGCACGGCCGCGTAATATATCGATCACTTTACTTTTGCTGGCTTGTCGCCGCTAATAATAGCGTTTGGCCCACTGCGCGCCGTGGCGCCGGTCGAAATAGCGCGCCATCGTACGAGAACGTGCGCCCACAACCGAATACCATAATCTGAAAAAGAAACCAGCTGCCGGAAGCGCTCCCTCTCTTTCTCTCTGTCTCTCTCTGGAACTGGATTAATTTTCTTTTGTTTCTATAATAAAGATAATGTACATAAAATGAAATTATGATTACGAGTGCTCTCGTGCCGTTTCTCTTTTTAATACTTTTATAAAAATTTTTACACAGCTTCTTCTTTCTTTTCGAAAATAAGTCACATATGAATTTGAAACTTTGAGTAACTCGTGTGTATGTGTATGTATTATAATAATAAATATAATAAATACTAATGAACTAGTAAAAAGGAGCCAGATTTAGAATTAAAATTCAAGAGATCTTTGCTCAAACCATTCGCCATTTGAAACTTACCATTAGTCGAAAACAGAACTTGCAGTATAACATATAGTATTTCTTATGTACATTTTCGTACATTTGTAATTTATATTTAAAAAGAATAGATATACATTACATACTCTCATTTTTTCATAATTTAATATATCTGTATATGAAAATGTTCTTCAAATTTATATTTAATAAGATACGTGCTCTTATTATGTTTGAATTTTAATGTGAATATTTTTTTTAATGAAATGTCAAAATTGAATCGTTAAATTGTAGCAAAAATGTAAAAAATGCAATTTTCTCAGTCAGTCGCGGCGACAGAACAAAAACAGTGCAGTTCAGGTCAAGCTTGCGACACGCTTATAAATGTAGCAACGCGAATGTGGGAAATTTAAATTGGACGCGAGAAAAGAAAGCTACGGTCAAGTGATTCAACGAGACAAAATTAATAGAGGAACTAAACTACTCGCGCGACATTGAATCAGCCGATATGGGTCGATTAAAATAATGTGATTATAATGCGCGATTAATCGTATGACGATTATCTCATCAAGCGCACCCAGTAGCAAATGTGCAACTCATTGACGCATATCTATCACTTTGCATCGTGTGAAGGACTCGAACATTTTTATTCTTACCTATAATCAATTAACAATTTATCATTACATTAACGAATATATACACATATTAATATATATTTCTTAGATCTTTCATCGATTTTTTTTATAGATTTTATTAATTCCTTTTTTATCTTTCATCAATTTTCTATTTTTTATTTCACAATTTTAAATTAAGAAGCTACACACCTCGAGGATTATGAAATTTATACCAACTATATCTCTTTTCCTCGATATCCATATATTTATCTACGGTATCACTGGTATAGTTTTTATTTAATTCGTAATTAACGAATCTGTATCTATCTTTCTCTCTCTCTCTCTCTCTTTCCGTCTCCTTATTATATTTAAAATACTGCGCTATCGATCAATTATATTGTCCCTTGCATAAGCTACCTTCTTCGATAATTATAGATATCAATTTGAACCGTCAACACGTACAATATCTCGTGACAGAGATTCGCAAAGAAACTGTAATAGATGGCAAAGACATTTTAGGTTCTCTCGAAGATCTCCATTACGCGAATGCGATCCGCATCGCTAACTCGCGAACCGCGGGGTGCATTGTATCTCTTCGCGAGTGCAGTGCAGGTATTGTGCAACGGCGTTTACCCAACACCTGTTGCCTCGGCCGTGCTCTAGAGAAAACGAGATACTTGCCGGGAGAGAGAGAACAAAGAGAGAGAGAGAGAGGGTCGTAACGACGCGTATAAATTACGATCGTCCGTGTGTTCACCCCTTTTACGAGCGCGGTGCTCCCGACTCTTCAAAGTCCCTCTTGACTGATTTACCGCCACGGTACCCGCGAATTATCTCTCTCCTTGTTGTTCTTTTTAGCGATATCGCTATTCTTAAAGAGTAGATATTTTCCGCGGTTTTGTTTGTGGAAAAGGAAGGTGGCACGCTATAATTTATAACGCGAACAATCGCGATCAATCGCGGAATTTAGAAAGCCTGTGACTGTGTAGCAAATTTATTGAACTGATAATGAATTATATATATATGTACAAATACATTAGACGCTAATTGAAACATGTAAACAATAAATAGAGTATATAAAATATATTTTGCAGTATATGATATTAATTGATATTGATTTTTGACAATTAACAAAAGAACACTTTATCAATCTGAACGTCTGAGGGTTCTTTGAAAGTAGAAACCCAATTATATCAAGCCAATCATGTCGCAAAAAGAAAATTATTAACAAAAGCGACATTTCAAGTTTCTATGTAAAATAATAGATCGCAATTAATTTAATTCTTATAAAACTACGCGATGATTGCGCAAAATTGGGCGAAAGTGTTGTTGGAGATTAGAGACTATAATGATTCTGTGCGTCAATGATGAAAATGTAATTGTCGGCAAAAAAAGTGGGCCGATAGATCTCTTAATCAATCCACTATTTCTGAAACGTTGAACTCTAGTTAGCGTCCGCGGGCTATTTATGACGAGTATATTATTTTTTCTCATTAGTCACTATGTAACTGTCTTCACGCTCGACTTTGACACGCGTTACGCGCCCGCTTTTTATAGTCGTTCTCTTGGCTCGTGTTATACCTTTACGGATTTACAATCGTCACCGGGATACACGCGCATTTTTACCAGTAATGCGATGGAAAAGTCTCCGCGACTCTCGGTGACTCTGTGGAATTGGCCCCGAAGAATTCTGTCGTCTTCTGTTGCACACGTGGCAAATTAAGTCGGTCAAAGGTTACGAAAGTGCGAGATAAATATTTGAAACAAGTGATCATAATAATTACATAGTAATAATTTTCAAGTTATTTAAAACAAAATATTTCGTTTCACATCGTTTACGTAAAATGTGTGCTTGTTATATATTTAATATATTATATATTCTCTCGAGAAAAATAATATAAGTAGACAAATAAATAAATCTAAAATAAAACTTGGATGGTTAGAATTTAAAATATTTAATAATAAAATATTTTTTATATTTTCTCTATTAGAATAGCTTTTACCACATGTTTATATAATAATTTTATAAATTAATTAATTTTTTATTGTTTTATAACACTTTTATATTTAAATCAATTAATTTTTTTTTCTACGAAGAGTTATAGTAATACAATAAAAATTTGTGCCGAGTAGGAAGAGCTATTAATTCGTCATTCAATCACTAAACATATGTTTCAGTAATATCTTAATTATTAATTTACAATAATTTATTCATTTATTTATTTATTTACATTAGCCGATAAAATTATATATTTTGACTCTACATCCTGAATATAGTATAATTGTACTGATTCCGACAAATCAGCAGATTTCTCCCAAAGAAGCATCCAAAACTTCGACTGAGCACGCAATAACACATGGCAATTTAGAAAAAAATCAAAATGGGGAAACGAACAAGCAGATCGTTACTTCTGTCAAACGTATGGAAAATAGTTCGATGGTCAAAGTTTTGGATAATGGCGCTAAATGGGCGCCTCTCTTCGTCGAGCAAAATTTAACAGATCTCTCCCAAAGAAGCATCCAAAACTTCGACTGAGCACGCAATAACACATGGCAATTTAGAAAAAAATCAAAATGGGGACGAACAGTTAGATCGTTTTTAAAATACATATTTTTCTGCGTCGTAGTAGGGCTTTTTATTTGAGATCTTGTTGTCTCACCGCGTGAAGATTAAATCTGAAACGTCACGCTCGTCTTAAAAGATAAACTAGTGTCCTTTTTCATTCGAACACATGCGAAATTTCGCCGTGTGATTCTGTTGCAGAATATGGGCATAAAAGATGAATTCCATCAAAGGAATATTTTGGTCTGCATCGAGGAACTCTGCCAACCGTCGCCGCCATCCTCGGTGGCGACGGAGACGACGGGCTCCCCGGCTCTCAGCACAACGATGCCGACGTCCGGTGTCGCCCCGGAATCGGGCTGCTCGCTCGGAGTCAACTATCCGGGCAACAACGTGGTCAATAACGCGCACAATCTCAGGCCGCACAGCTTCAGCGTCTTGGAGAAGTGCGGCAAATGCCATAAATACCTTAGGGGCCTCTTACATCAAGGCTTTCTCTGCCAAGGTACGCCCGTTTTTCTCCTTTATCGAGTCGTAATCCGTCAAGTACTTTGAATTGACTGAATTTTATAATCGACGCGAAGGACCTTCATTGAGAGTCATTTTGTGCAATTTAATCTATTATATTTTTTTTACATTCGGATTCCTATTCTTTTCGTGATAATTACAAATTATAATTGCGTTTTCATTTTTAATTAATTCCTTGAATGAAGCCGCGTTATTTTTCTTTGATTCCATTTGATATCCATAAAATAATTATGACTTTTAACGATTTTATACGGACTGTGAAATTTATCATTGAAAATACTCGGCAATTGATAATTTCATGTTTACATTCCTGCATGACAGTTATTAATTCTGAAACTAGAACCAATAAGACAGAAAAAAAAAAACTATGCGTTTCGCGCTGTTGATCTTGCGAATTTTCTGCATTGCGCAGATTGCGGGTTGGTCGCTCACAGGACGTGTTCAGTGACGGGTTTGCCTTCCAATTGCATATCGGTCGACACGGACAATCGTATCAGCAGGTTTACTTCAGGTAAGTCACGTTGTTTGAGTCGCCGGCTCGGCGCCGCCTTCGTCATTGCAAATTTTATAGCGCGGCATAGCCGTAGATATAGGTATAAGATGCAGGACGCTCGTTAATTCTCCGTCGCGTCCCCTAATTGATAGAACACGGAAAGAGAGGCTGAAAAATTTAGTTGTCCTCTAAAATGGGAGGTTGCGTCAGAAACGCGCTCGGTGGCATCGTAACCGGCCACCGGCCGGTCCGGCGATCGTATGACGAGTTACGAAGTTAACAAGGCAAGGACGCCCGTTCTGGCGCCTGGCTGCGCGCACCTCGCTCTATGATAACCTGGATCACTTCACGGAGACTTGCATTTCACGGCTGACGACTTTCTTCCATTGAAATCCCTCCGCGTCGCGGTCGCGTGGGAGTCGCCTCACTTGCTGGCATTTAATGATTCTTAACCGAGCGTGCGAGTTTCAACACGGTTTTGCCTCGCTCTACGATGCATTCTCTGTATCACGAGGAAAAGTAATATCCATGCTACGAGAAAAAGACGGTCTACAAAATCTCAGCATTAGATTGAATTTATTTCGATACGATTTTTGTAATAATTTTTCGATAAAAAGTAGAGAGAGAAAAGGTTTTGTGTCAATATTCAATTAAATATCGCTGAAAGTAACTCTATGGCGATGCGATAAGAAGTCAAGCTTATTAAATTTGTGAAACGATGAAATAATTTTCGAGAAAATTGAAATTAAGAGATTTTATTCCCTCCAATCCATAATCATATTTTTTTCTAAATTTTTATAACGAAACTTTATGATATCTCGCGATTTAGATTCAAACAAATTTCGTCTATTGGACATCTTTTTAACACATCGACACATTAATTATTTTCTTTCTCTTCATTTATGCTGATAACTATCGACTCTTTAGATCGTCGGTATTTTCCCAAGTCGCTCCAGTCACCAGCTGGAGTTGCCTTGTAATGTGTACCTTTGACAGCGTGATAGTTAAACGGCGCGAATATCTCTCAGACAACGATAATCGGCAGAGACAACGCAGGCGAGGCTTAACGCTCGTGCCGTCAACGCGCGCCTCCAATGATGCATTTAATTAACGCTGCACACGCCGCAGCACGAATGACGGAATCGAATATTTGTGCATAGCAAAACCGCGAACACGGCGCCAGTCTTCAGGGCCGTGTCACCCCGTCGCCTCGCTGCCCCCGATCCTTCATTCATTTATTCCAGGCTCCGTCGTCAATTGCATTTGTACATATCGCGCGACGGTGCATCGATCGCTAGAAATTATCGTCCGACTGATAATGTTTATTCAATGCGATGTGTCAATTTGTGACTAATGATCATAATAACAATTTTGAGATTTAATTCGATAATATTAATGGGACAGATAATTCTGTGAGTAACGAATAGAGTTATCGGTGCGATGGAGAGTTTCGGGACATCCTGTTCACAGGATGTTAATTACGCTTTGATTTAGTTATCCATTTTATCAGGAAATTCGTCGAGGGAAGTCGGATCTAACAAACTCCCGTTTTAACGACCTCAGAAATGTGGCCATCCCCCCAATGGGATCGCGGACAATCTAATCTCGCGTTTTACGAAGGAGAAGGCTTGGTATATCGCGTCGTACGAGTGACTAACAATCGTCGATGCGGTTTTCATACCGTGCGGTTTCACACGTACGTGTACGCGATTGTTGCATCGGCTTGGGTTGATTTATAGTAATTGGTAGCGTTTAATCGCTTATACGCGAGTCATCGGCGTCTCTCGAGCGAGCTACACACGTGGAGGTGTAACGACGGCAATTACGCTCCTCTCCTGCGAGAGCAAAAATTCGAGTCACGTGCGACCGCACGCCGGCGACTTCGACATTGACAGTCTCGCAGATTGCATCTGTCCGTTTGAAAAGTTGATTGAAAATGACGCAGCAATCAATTTAAATCTTTAATTGTATTTGCTAAGGCTTGACATCTTACTCTCGCAGCTTTTCGATGCATAACGCATGAATTTGCAATGTTACGTTCACTTATCGTATTAATAATTATAAATTCAACGATGCAAATGTAGCGGTAAATGCAATTTTTAAGATATGTAATTTTGTAATTTCTATAATTCAATTATTCGAATATCTTGTGATTCGTTGACAGAGTTTTAGAATTCTAAATTGCTACAGTTTCGCAGAATTCGAACGCGAAATCGACGCCGTAAAACAAAGCTTCGAAAGCCGCAAATCACACCCAAAATTCGAGTATTCGTATGAGTGTCTCCATGTATTTACACGCGCATTGATTTATTTGAGTCCGACGAAACGGATTCGTGACGAATATCGAATGGCCCGGCTGTCCTCCGCCATGCATCCGCGCATAAAATTCGCATGCGTGTGCCGACGTTCACGCCCGTAGATCGTGTTTTAATTCTGACTTTTTGTATCCCTCCCTCTCGGTCACTCGTCCTTCCTAAGAGAATAAGAAGAAGATACGGTCATGAAGAAACAAGACGTCGCCGTTGCGGTCGTAAAAATAAATTTCTCTCCTCCTCCTCCTCCTCCTCCTCCACCACCTCCTCTACCCCCCCCTCCTACGCAATGTTCTCTGCTCCGGTCCGATCCGCTCGCCGCACTCTCGTCCTCTCTCTTGTCATAATGCATGCGTACGCGTCTTTGATTGTACAAGTGGCGTGTGTGCGTGGTATTCGCGAAAGAAAGAGAGAGAAGGAGCGAAAAAGAGATCGGCGGCCTGAAAATATGATCGCGCATATATCCTCGCGCGAAAATAAAGTCAAAGGTTCGTCAGCCGTGCGAAATGAAAAAAAAAAAGAAAAAAAAGGAAGAAACGGAAAAATTGAAGGAAAAGACGGACGACCGTAGGGCGGAGAAGTTCACTGGCGCGAAAATCCGCGAAAAACCGCGAGAAAACCTTCGAGAATTCCTCGGGCGGCTGCGGCGTTATGCAATTCCGCCGTCGTCGCTTTGTCCTCGCCGAATTTCGCGTTCGAATGGGACGTCTCGGAAATGAAGAGAGAAGCGAGAAGGCTATATTCTGGTTTCATCCTGCGAATTTATATTATTTCATGATTGATTGCGCTTTGCATGACATACTTTGACCTTAACATTTTAAACTTGACAAGGATTACAGCTGGATGATTTAAGTCTTAATTAAATAGGCAAGTACTGGAGCATGTTACAATATAGTTATATGTAATTATAAAATCAATGAGATAAACAGATTTTACAATTCGATATAATTGATTATTTTTTAAAAAAGAAGACTAGAAGAACAAAACATGACACATACATATCATGCGTGCTTTGAAACGATAATATGAAACATTTAATTTGATGGAATATGTTTATTACATTTTGTCTTGAATTTTATATATAGTTCAGTGATTTAACATATTCTATATTGTTATACATTAAAATTACTTGCTTTCTTAAAAAAGGATAATATCATGATATGATCAGATTAGATGCGATCATATTGATCTTAGCAGATAAGATCCTTGATTTTGTACTCTAACCGTGTAATGAGCACATAAGCTCTACGCTCTCTCTCTCTATCTTTTCCTCTGATTAAATATATTCGATAAAGTATTATTGAAAAACATACAATTATAAAATGTATTTGTTCTCTCATTACTTGTCTGGCTAAAGTTTACATCCCACAATAACGTTACAATTTACAATGCTGTGACAAAAAAATAATAGATGTTTTAATGTTGTGTATATATATCTTTTTTTTGTATTTTTTTTTTTTTTTTTTTTTTTAGTTTCAAGTATTAATTATGTAATTTCTATATTTTCGCGTTTGGGAAGAAATGTGCAACGCTGTGCGAATAGAATGCGTCTCATGATTCAAAAATCTGCCCACAATTCTACGAATTCATGCGAGGAATTTCGGGTTGGGTCTACGGTCACCTCGATGTTTGTCGCACCAAACAGTACGCGGTATTTATCGCACTTTACAGTATTCGGTCTCGCGCTGTGCTCGCAATTCGACACCGCCAGCCATGCGGCGCCGATCCTGGTGGAGCGGTGCACCCACGCCCTCGAGCAGCAGGCGTTCGCCGACACAACGCTGGACCTCTACAAAGTTTATCACAGCAGTCCGCCTAATGAGCAGACCCTCGAGCTGCGACAAAAGCTGAACGAAGGTAAGACGCGCGAACCGTGGCGGGCCGGATCGAGCTATAAATAGCCGGCGGCAGTCATTCCACAATGTTCGGCCCGCGTGTTGCAAAAATTTCGAGGCGCGCAAAACCAGATGCACTCACGGGTGCGTTGCGGAGGCCTTGCCGATACAAAAAGAAAAAAAGAAAAAAAAAAGATAGAAAAACTGCGAATGTGCGCTTATTTTGCACGACGGATCGTGCAACAAACGAACGCGATAGAATTCAGGATCCCTTTCGGGCTTTTAAGAGACAAAAATCCGGCCGCATGTTTGTGCGGAAAATATCTCACCCGTGCGTATTGTCGAAACTTATTTTAACTTCTCGCAAAGTGCACGGTATACGAATCATTTGTTTTCAAAGTGGCGTTAAGTAAGTTTCCCACATTTCCTCAGAAAGATATACTACTGCTATTTATATCTGCATCGTGTATTTGTATACAAGTATACATTGATCTTAGATCTAGATTTGACTTAACACTTGGTGCTTTATCACGTTTTGCACGCGCAATTATTTATCTAACATTGAGAAAGCGCTTTCTACAAATTCAGAATTTATCAATCTAGTCGCTTTCTTTTGCGCGCGCGCGCGCAATGATTATTTAAATATATTTAAAATAAATACTTCTTTTTCTATACACGTCTGTCTAGACAATCAAGCTTCTTAACGTGTAAAATCTTGTTGCGCGAGAAATTGATAAAAAATTTGTAAAGCAAAAGGTATTATGCAAATATCTCGAGGAAATGAATGAAACTTTTATAATCAGAAGTATATTTCGCTCAAAATTGTCGCGCACCTTATATTTAATCATTAACACATAATATTGTATGATTAGAATTATGTACCAATAATCTCGATGATAAAACCAAACGCATGTGACATAATATTTTTAGATGTCTATAATGCGGATTTAAATCCGTACACCCCGCAGTGTATTGCGAGTGTCTTGAAGAAGTTCCTGCGGGAATTGCCGGATCCGGTGATCCCTGTACAATGGTACGATAGATTCCTAGAGGCGTCAAGTGAGTATATACGTGTATATATATATATATATATATATATATATATATCAATTAAAAGTTTTTAAATATTTTTCTCAATCAATTATTATGATATAATTCTAATAACATTGATCGCAAATGCTTGAATTTGTTTTTATTTCTTAGGTATGAGAAGTGACGAGCAATGCGCGACGCGCCTCAATCAATTAGTATCCGAGCTACCGGAACATCATCGTAGCACATTATGCCATTTGATGGCGCACTTTTGTCGCATCTGTCAGTTGCAGCACGGAAGGGGCTACACGGAACCGCCAACCATCCTCGTGCAAGTGCTCTGCCACATATTTCTCAGGCCGCCCTGGGAGCGAATCATGTGAGTGCCACGTGAATTTCTTCGATTGCAGTGGAAGGGTTGGGAGTAGAACATGATTCACATGATGCTTTTTTTATTGGCGACGATTAAAAAACATCAAGGATGCTGGCATTAGTTTTTCCGCCTTGTTGAGACTAATTAAGTTAAAAGAATTGAACTTTCTAACTCGCTAGCATCGTATGTTGTTTAAATTCTCTTGTAAAAAAAGTCGTGTATAGATTGTATAACTGGTTACTTTCAAATATATAATACTATTATATAATGATTATAATATACTACTATATTACGAAAAAAGATTGACTGGTTTGGCACGACCGCATTGCTATTAATAGATAAAATTACTCAATAAGACCACCTGTAATACTTAATTACAAAGAATTTAAACATTGCATTGCGCATATTTTATTACAGCCAAGTTGTCCACAACACGGAGGCACATATACGCATAATGGAATTGCTGTTGTTGCATGGCGATTGGAACGAGAAGCTACCGGAGTTTGCCAGTCCCCCTCAATTGCCCCCGCGTAAAGTTTCGAGACCGCAGTTTCCAATTTTGGACCAACTCTCGATTCTAGAAGGCGATGCCGTAGACAGAACGGCACCTGGCGCAGATACTGGCAAGGACCAACAACCACACAGGTGATTCTCAAGTTTGATTTTGATTTTGGTCCAAATCTTAATCTAGGTTGCAAATTTTTGTTTGTAGTTCCAATTCTACATTGAATTTTAATTCGAATCTTTCTGTCGATTTACTTTAATGCTATATTTGTAATTTTAGTTTTATTCTTTTTACAAATTGTTTTTTAAGGTTTATTATATAATTACACAGTTAAATAACGAATAATTATAACTAACACTGAAAAAATTCCAGGCCGCGCACGCTTCAAGAGGCCGAATGGTATTGGGGTGACATCACGAGGGATGATGTGAACGAGATGATGATTGATTCACCGGACGGCACCTTTCTGGTACGCAATGCGTCTTCCAAGTGCGGCGAGTATACTCTGACACTACGTAAGGGCGGGACCAACAAACTTATTAAGATCAGCCATCGAAATGGGAAATATGGATTCTCGGATCCTTATAATTTCCATTCGGTCATCGAGCTGGTCGACTATTATAGGAACTGCTCGCTCGCACAGTACAACTCCGTGCTGGATATTAAGCTACTCTACCCTGTATCGCGATTTCAGCAGGTAATTTTCACGAACTTTCCGATCGACTTAATGGTAGCTTTACTGTAATCATATTTGAACTAATTCTCTGTTGTTTGTTGGAAAACAGGAAGATGAAATCGCGAATACGACCGACATGGCAAAAGTCCTGCAAAAATTTCTTGAATTGGAGAAAGAAGTAAATGACGGTATCCGGCAGTACCACCATTGTTGGGACTTATACACCAGAACAGCCAATGAAGTTGGGCTAAAGATTCAGGCGTTGGAAGCCTTTGAGGAAGCCATCAAGATGTTTGAAGAACAGATAAAGTTACAAGAGAGATTCCAGAAGGAGGCTCAGCCTCACGAGATTTCCACGTGAGTATTCTATTCTTTCTTCACTTTGCAAAATATATATATATTTTAACCTAAGGTATTACATATTGTATTGAGAATATATTGACCAAAATAATATACAACATATTATACAGTATATAAAAAACATGATGATAATATTCATAAGATTCCGATTCCGCGCATGACAAAAACAATAGAATCCGCATTATTAATTAACATTGCGCTAAATGATTACAGTTTAATGGATAATTCGGAGTTGCTGAAACGAAGACTAAAGGCCTTAAAAGACAGCAGAGATCAATTACAGGAGAGCACGAACCAACAAGTTGCCTACAACAGAACCCTTGAAAGAGAAACGTGCAGGTTGAAGTCGGAAACTGGACAACTCGCGCGGCAAAGGGATCGCTATGCTTTGTATGTATTCTGTTTTAAAGGTTTCAAATATTTCTTTTCTTTATTTATTGGAAAACTATCTAACTTGTTCGCATTTTGTTTCAAATGCAGATGGTTAAAGAAAAACGGGATGAAACAGAACAAGATGGACTTTGCGGTCCATTCTGACGAAAAAACGTGGCTCTACCTACAGGGTTCTCGTCCCGATGCTGATCATATTCTGAAGGGCCGACCCGACGGTACTTTCCTTGTTCGTCGATCAAGAACGGGCCAGTACGCGCTCTCCATAGTGTAAGTCTCTTTTCTAACGTAAATGACGATCATACTCCGAATTTAATAAATTAGAATAAACGTTTATAAATGTCACGATTATAACACACGGATAACAATAGAACAGTTTAAAACAAAGATTAATTTATCACCAATTTATCAGATATTTTACCATCTCACGCGATAGATAAAACAATGAAATTCTTTTTATGATTCGGAATCCAATATTAAAGATTATATTTTATTATTAAGTTGACTTTGTAGTTTGTACGATGACTTACTCGAGAATCACAATGTTACAGGTGCAATGGCACGGTGCAACACTGCATAATATACGGCACTGAGCGTGGCTATGGTTTTGCCGAGCCTTATAACATTCACGAGAGCCTGAAACATCTGGTGCTGCACTATGCCCAGAACTCCTTAGAGGAGCACAACGAGTGCCTAACCACCACCTTGGCCTATCCGGCGTTTGCGCCACCCGCGGCGCTCGCGCAACTACAATCCCAACAGAAGCAATTGCAGATTTACACCCAAAACCAAACGCCGTTTGCGCGATTATCCCACGAGAATCAGCTTCTCATGCCGCATACGTAATATTTGCATGCTGATTAGCATCGCGATCAGGATCCGATCGAGTTCGAGTATGTTCACGCAGATGTGAATTCTGCTACTACAAGCATCATTCGCCGACACGATCGGCGAATCCGATCGGATCACGCAAGCCTTCCTTGACGAGTTTGAACATGTTTCGCTGCGAAACAGAATGTTCCTTCGTTCGGGAACATTTTTCAAAACCGCGTACAATAATTATGCACATAGTCAGAGGAAACAATATCTCGCGCGAATCGACATCATAAAAGCGCGCAATCGAAAGCGTGCAATCGAAAGCGTGCAACTGGATGCTTGATTATCATCGAACGATAGGTAGATAAGTCACGAGGTCTATGAAAACACCTTCGACAAAACGTATTTAATAGCCGCAACAGTAATAATCATAAGAACTACTAGCGATAGAATTAGGTGTACACGCGTTATCGTGGTAACGATCGCTTTGACTAACGCAGAGGTTTCCAAACGGCACGTCACGACATCCTTGAAAAGATACGGTTTTTATCCGAAAAGACGTAAAAATAAGAGATAAGCAAGTCTTCTTCCATATCCGAGATGTTTTACAATGAATTAAAAAACTTGAAAGGTAATTCCGGAAAATTGTATCGTGTCTTTATATCAGCAGCGGTTTTTTAAGTATGATTAAATATTCGAACATTTTTTTCAATTAGGATTTAGAGATGATACGAGAATGTTAAGTTAAAAGTAGTTGACTGCTTGAGTTTTATAAATAAAGATGAACAAACGTAAGAGAGAGAGAGAGAGA